GAGTAGTTTTGACCCAGAAAGCGAAATTTGAATATCAGACACTTAGGTGCAAGATTATACCAAAATTCCATGTTTTCCGTCCCATTTTTGCTCATTTCTCGGAGGCAAAATTAGCAAGAACGGTCATTTGTACATCATTCTAGACAGAAATAAATAGCCTTTTCGGAAAGTGAACCATGGATGGGGAAATGTTTGCAGTTTTCTCAAAAAATGCTTGAATTCAAGAAGTTTGAGATTTGCGTGGTTTTCTTTGAGTTGCAAAATGCACTTGAACATGACGCTGCTTTTTTCGAGGTTTCTCAAGAACCATTCTAGCCAGTTAATTTTTTTTAGCATCGTTGGATAGAGAATTGAATGGGGGGGGGGGTCACGACCCCCATGAATCCCCCTGGATCCCCCCTTGGAGCCCAGACATTATTTTGAATATTTTCCACTAAGAAACATTGTTTGGGAGCCCGTAAATGTGTGCGAACCTACGCCACTAAAGCCTCACCTTCATGTTTTCGATGAGATGCGCAAATTGGGCATGACCGTCGTGGGCGAGGGCAAAAGTGTCCCTGGCCCGTCCCAAAAACTCGATAAAATCAGCATAGTGTCTGGGCGAAATGTGCGCCAACCGGGAATGAGTTGTGTTGATGTAGGCGTTGACTGCCGCCTCCAGTAAAGGACGCAGTGGCGGTCGGTCGAAGGACAGCGGCTTCGGCCCTACAAAGACACGTCCGATCGTCAACGCCGGTCCCACGCTATTGGAGAGCGATATCCCACCTGGAATGCATCTAGTCCGGGCTGAGGCATGTTTAGCATCTGGTTGGATGGGCGGCCCGGTGGGTCCTCCAGGGGCGGACGCTCCGCATCGTCGCAACACATCGCTTAAAACAGTGGCGCACTGCACGTTCTTGACCAGCAGGGGCACCATGTGCCCCAATTCCGTCTTTCCCAAGGAATGGGCCAGCGCCATCGCCCAGTGAATGTCGTTGATTGCTGGATGTGTATCCTACAGGAAACCCCATGGGTCGTTAGGGCGGCGATTGAAAATCGGTCGGGAAAAACCCGAGCTTTACCTGGTTGTAGGCCAGATGGACGTTCTTCATGGCAAGCATGGCCAGTTTATAGGCGCGGGCTGGATAGCCGCGATGCTCCATGTAGCGAGCGATTGTAAAGAGTTGCGACGACGTCATTATATGCGAAGCGGCCTCCACCACGATCTGGTACGCCGTCTCGAAGGCCAGCGCCTCGTTCTCGCACAGAGTCAGCGCGTTTAAGGCACAATTGGGCGGGTCCTGGAAGCAACCAAGTCAACTTTAGTACGAGAGCGTGGGGCAAAGTTGCGGCTTTACCTTAGTGGCGCATTGCAGGGCCAAAGTGCGAGCACACGAACTCAGCTCATCTTGCTGCTGGAACCCGAGCTGCAACCGAACCATGGTGCCCCTGGACATGATGGTGGTGGCGACGGGGCCGGCAGCCTCAGTGGCCGTGAAAAACTGAAACCAGTTTTGCATCAGAGACGTCAGCGCCTCCAGGCCCAGCTCAACGGCGCAGGTCACGAGCCACCGAACCATCTCTCTCCGTCTCCAATTGAGCGACGACAGCGTCATCCTCATTACCTAAACAGAGGGTCACGTCTTATGCCCGCTTTCCGAACTCCAACATATCGGTTACATAAGCTTGTGAGTCTCATAAACTACCAAAATCACGTCTGCTGGGTTTCTCAACGTCTGTTTAAAGCTTATTGGTTCCATAAGTTATCGAATAGATATCTACTCAAAGATGGATGGTTATCGGCTTCATAACGTCTGACGCAAGCGTGTAGGGTTTGTTTTGATTTTTACAACAGAGCGATTCTAACCTAACATAACCTATTCTTATTATATAACAGCATTGCATAACAGTTTTGTTTTGTTTAACGTATAAAAATTTACTATAATTATTTAAAATGGATAATT